CATTAGTTAGAGTACTGATATTTATTAGGTAATATTTTAGAGGGTGGGAAGTAAGGCCAAACCTTATCTCAGTATAATACAAAAATTTAATTGGCTAATAAAAAATATTATCTGGAAGAAGAGAGTAAAGTTCTATAGTAAATAAATATTAGGTAATAAATATCAGAGCCCTTACTGTTGGTTGAGCTAGCAAGGGTTGGTATTGTTTATAGGTAGTTAGAACATAGATCTTCTTTTTATTCTACTTAATGGTATAGGTTTTATTTTTTCAATTATAACTGGCTTTAACTTTTTGTGACCAGTTATTTTCTAAAAGCAGAAAGTAAGATATAGCATCCATAACTTCTATATCAAGAGAGATAGTAATTTCTTTAATTTTTACTAGAAAGTTTTTAATAATTTCTAGAGATTTAGTAGAGGGTCCAGTAGCTGATACAATTATATTCATAGAGAAGGCTTCAATTTTTAGACCTAGTTTCTTGACAACTTTGTAAGAAATCATGCTAATTGCAGCTCTACTATCAATAATAGCATAGTAGGATCTGCTTCTAAGTTTAATATTATACTTAATAGAAGTAGTATAAATTAGTGTCTGTGTCTGGTTAGAGATGCTAGATTCTTTTGTGAAATAACCAGCTAAAGCTGTTCTGATAGATTTATTGACTAAGAATTGTTCAAATTGTTTATAAATATAGTTATTAGCAATATCTGTAGTGTATATATCTCGAGAGTAAAGGGTGGAGGATCGGCTTCTAGATCTATCATTCTGGTTATAGGAAGAATAGTTGTCAGAGCAATATTTATTATGAGATTGACTTCTGCTTCGAGATCTGTTTCTTCAGTTATAATCTCTGTTTCTGAATCTATTTCTATTACGAAATCTGGATCTGTCATAGGATCGATTATTCCTAAAAAAATATCTATTATCTTGACTAGAAGATTGATAATCATGTGAGTTTCTTCTATTATCCTCTCTTCTTATGTGACAATCTCTAATAAAATATCCTCTGTTATCACAGTAGTAGCAGATATTGTCTCAAGAATTATTTTTATTGTTATTATTATTATCTTGATGAGAGGAGTTGTTATTTTCAGAATAATAGACAGGAGTAGCAAGTAGTGTTTCTATGAACTGAACTGAACTGAACTTTTAGCCAAGTTCAAGTTCAGTTCAAAAAATTTTTATAGATCAACACAAACTTTCTCCCATACAAATTTGTAAGAAAAAAAGTGCAAACAAAAAAACACAATAACTACTCAATACAAGTTTACAAATAATCTAAAACAAGGCCCAACAAGGGCACTAGCCTTTGTACCAAGGAAAAGAAGATATATTTCCCTTGGAATACAAGAAACCTACAACAAAAAACTAAAAATACAAAACTTTCTCTTTGACAAACAAAGAGAAACAAACAGCATGTCAAAACAACAACAAAGAAAGAAATTACTGCAAATGCAGCTACCTTAACACAAGCAATCAAAACAACTACAAAAAATACTAGCTGGGAGGAACTAGCATCTTTAGAAGAAGAGAGCCAAAGCTCAACCTCTACAAACATGTCAATATGTAAAAATAAAGAACAACAATATAACAACAAAACAAGTCATCTTACAGAACACGTGCAAGATCACATGACTTTAGATCAAGAACAACCAATAGAACAAAACACATCAGAGGCCACAGAATTTTTGAAAAATAACCCATATATTGGAAGCTCAACTTCAAAAGGAAAAGCTAAAGCAGATACTAGTCAACCAAGAGATACAATCAACAAAAAGTGATCAAGCCTATTTGCAAAATTAAAAAAGGGCCAATCGACTTATATAGCCTTCTCTCCTAGAGAACAAATAAGAACCAAGAATGAGAATATATTAATTATCGAAATACAAGATATTCAAAGCTCTTTTAATAAAATAATAATCTCACTTTATGAAAGCGTCAAGCAAGATATTATAGCAGCAAAGCAACACTTCAAAAGAGTAACCGCATATACTTGGAAATTATCTTCTTTAACAAAAATACTCTTGGTCATCATGCGGTCAAGGGTATCAAAATCTTCAACAAATCATACTTTGGTTACATTCCAATGGACTCATACAAGTCTTTCTTTCCAGTAAAGCTTAGAAACATTCCATTAGGAGAGAAAGAAGAAATAACAATGCTAATCAAGAATGTATTTCAAGATTTTGGCAAAATAGCTTCAATCAAACTATTGGTAATTGAAGGAACACCATATTTAACTGATCAATAGATTGTCATTTTCAACACAACAGAGAATGGGGATTTAGAAAAGCGAATCTCTCGCTTTACTCACCTTAGAGACAACAAAATTACAACTAAATAGAAGACAGCTCCTAAAGTTTGCTACTTTTGTGACCAGGAAGGACATATAAAAAAAGAATGCTCTCAATTCAAAGAGTTAGTTGCATTAAGACAATACTATTGAGAGTTCAAAGAAACCTCTAAGACAAAAACAGAGACTACCTTAGCAAAACTACTCAAGAAGTAGAAAGTCTTCCAGAAAATGAAGAGAAAGAGGAATTGAAAGAAGAAGCAATGAGTATAGAAACACCAGATGAGCAAGAGATAAAAGATATCTCTTATAGCACAGATGACGAAATAGAAGATACTTAGAAAAAAGCTGAACAAGCAACTACTTTCTCAGAGGCAGAACTCACAACAAGAGATGAGCTTGCACTAGACGGTCTATCTTTTAAAGATAATAAC